ATTACATTTTAATATTGATTGATTTGAATTTATAATATAGAAACAAAATATCATAGACTTTCTGTCAAGTTCCTTATAAATCCAAAAACAAGTCATGAATTACGTAAAGAATTACATAAAATAAATGAAGAATATAAGAATGAACAACATAGTTGGAAGGCTGAAAAAAGAAGACTGAAAATGACAAAAGGTACAAAACAAGAAGACCTTGATCATACAAAAAGAAAATTGAAAGAAAGCACTGAAAAATATAATAAGAAAATTGAAAAATTGAATAATTTATTTCAACAACAAATTAGCATTGGCAATAATAGCAATAATGGCAATGGTAATGAGAGTAGGAAAGACATTGGCAGAGAAATTATTATTACGAATGGTAATAATAGTTATAATAATTATATATAAAATAAATAAAAAGAGGAAAAAAAGTGATATTTTGAAAATGAGGGGAAAAGCAATATATTTATAATTTTTATATATAATTTTTATAGAGTTATAATATTTATATTTATATATTAATGTATATATATAATTATATTAATAATATATGTGTTGTAATGTTTCTTTCAAATGTTTTGATGTGCTAATATTAAAATTTGTAAATATATATATATATATACATCTCTTAATATTATTTAATTTGTTATATTTGAACTTTCAGAAGAAGGATTTGATTTTTCTAGTGTGTTATCATTTAATGCATCATTCATTTCGTCAAATGCTGCAAAATGTCTCTGTTGAAGTAATTTAATATCTTCAAACACTAAATAATAAATGTTTGTATTATTTTTTATATATTTGAAGTGTTAGAGTGTCAGAGCATGTGTGTATAAAATGTGTAAATCACATTAATGGTTATAATAATAATAATTCACAATAAATAGATAATGAGTTAGTTACCTTTATTAGCATAATTTGTGTCTTTGAGGTATACTTTTTGTAAGAAATCAATCATTGCACCAGTACTAACAGCACACTCTTCAACTGGCAATGTATCATAATATGAATGATTTATTTCAAATGGATTTTCTGGTGCTATATTAAGACTTAATGTTATAACTTCTTCTATAATGTCCCATAATTTTATATCTGTTTTTTTTTAATGGATAATTAATTAATTAATAGATGTACAAACAGATTTATAAATTGATTAATGAATTAATGGTAAATATGCCTTGAGTTTTCCAATTTGCTATTGTGTCAAGTTTCAGTGGATTATCAGTTTCTAGTTTCTGATCATCTTCAATTTGAATTAAATTTTTATGATTTGATCTTAACTGTCAACACATATGAAAAAACAACAAATAAATATTATAATAATAACAATACAAAAAGTAAAATATTATAATAAGATTATTACCCAAACATATGGACATTTGTATCTAGCATATCCAGCTATAAGAAATACAATATTTGATTCATCCTAAACAATATAATTATGCAGCTTATAATGATTAGATAATAAATTATATATAATTATATTTATAATCAACATTATTATAATGATTACTTTTGATAGATCATTATCTAGTGGACTGGATGGTGATGATATTAAATTAAGTATATCAGCTCCATTACTTAATCTACAATAAGTAATTAATCAAATAATCAAATAATAATCAAATTAACCTGATTAATAATTAATCAATTATTAATTTTTAAAAAAAGCATCTTACGTTCTACGTGTTTTTGGTGAAAATAATGCATCACGACTATAAATACAATTGATTTAATCAAAAAATAAAATAGGAGAAGAAAATATGGAGCATTTTAAGACAAAGAAAACTACTGAATTACTGGACGATAAAAAAATATAAATAAAAAATTTAAAAAGAAAAAAAAACTTACTGTGATTTTGCAAGTGACAAAGAATTATATTTTATTCTGCTACTTTCATATATTGTAGAACTTGTTTTTTCATTTCCATCAACAATGCTACTACCATTAGTACTCTGATGAACTATATAAACCCTTAATAAAAGTTCTTCTCTACCTCTTAAATATAACTCAAAACGTTTAAATCCCTTTTTTAATTTTTTAAAAAATTTAACAATTGCAGCATATTTTCAATGTTTTAGTCATTTTAAAAATTGGAATTGGAATTTGATTTTTTTTTTTTTTTTTTTAGAAAAAAACCTTTAAACAACCAACTGCAAGGCAATCTAAAAGAAATGCTGATAGTCGTATACTCTCTGACTTTATGCCTACTCCTTGATTACCACCACCAACAGTAGTAGTACCGGCTATCATTATTTATGTTAACAAAGTTTTTAAAAAAAATTAATTTACGTATTTTTATTATTTAATACAATTAAAGTAATGATCAACAAAATTTTTATGACTTCACTATATCAAGCTCTAATTAATATAATGGGTACAAGTATATAAAACTTCACTATATCGTACAATTTACTATATAGTAGGTTCACTATATCGAGCGCCGACTGTAGTATGTATTGTCGGCGGCATACTTATTATTTGTGTAACTTAACCACTCATTTGGGGCACTCCCCTTATTTCGTGCGTTTTAGCATTCAAAAAGATAAAAAAGATTTATCGTCATCATTTGAATTTATAACAAATTATGAGTGACAATTTTAATCACGGAATTAAAAATAAACTTGCTGCGTTATATCAACAAGCTTTTCAACTTGCCAAACAAGCCGTCGAAGAAGATCATAATGGAAATAAAGAAATAGCGAGGAATTCTTATTTAGAAGTGTTAAAGGTTCAAATTTGATAGTTCTAAAACATTTATTAATTACCATTAACATTTATTAATTAAAATATCATTTTTTTCTTAAAATCAGATTTTTGATTCAATAATAAAAAGTAGTCACTTTATTATTCATTGTCATTTTATCATTATAGTCCTCATCAATACCATTAGTTTTGTGTCAAGTAATTTAAGTTTTTTTTCTAATATGTGTGTGAACTAAATTTGTAGTTGAATTAGATCAAGATGCGAAAAAGATTTTATCTAAATATCAAGAATATAGCACGCGTATCAAACAAATTGATGCCGAAATAATTAGCCAATTATCAGATCAAGCACAGGTGTTTAAACTATTATGGATATCAAAAATTTAAAATTACAATGTTATTAATGTTATTATTACTATTATAATTATTACAATTGGATTTTTTTAAGTCAATATTAGACCTGGCCGTAATAGAAGATGAAAAAAAGAATTATCAAGAGGCATTGGACTTATACTTTGAGGCAGTACAATTACTTTTAGATATTCGTCGAAGTGCGCCGTATTCTTTAAATATCTTGATTACAACTAAAGAAATTATTTAAATATGGCTCATTCTAATATTATTTATTATTATTTGATTAATTTAGAGAGTAAAGATCAAGAATCAAAATCAGAATTATCTAATAAAATAAATTATTTATTAAAAAGAGCAGAAGATTTAAAAGGATTACCAAAAAAAACTATGGCATTACTAAGTAAATCATTAATATATCTACTACATATTTGTCTATTTTCTAGAAAGATTTTATACAATACTCAATCTTATTGGTTTTATGATTAGATAATCCAGGAAAAGGAAGATTATCATTTTATTCACCTGGATCAGGATTAAAAAAAGAAGAAATTGAAATTTTGAAAAATAATTCAGTAATAAATGGTAAAACTTTTTTGCCATGGGTGGAAGATGATTTAAACGAAGATTTTAAATTTGATAAACCATTTAGGTATTTATTTGAAATATTTAAGTTTATTCATTTATTTATTAACTGCATTATTATAAAAATGTAATGATAAATCAGAAACGAACATGCATTGTTATTGAATAGGGATGATGAATATATGAACTTAAAATTATCTAATAGACAAATAGCAGTGTTTGGTGAATGGAAGCGTCCTTCAGAGATAATGAAACAACCTAGAATGATTGTAACAATTTCAAGTGAAACAATTAAACAAGTAACTATTAATTAATTGAATTAAAGCTATTATTAATAATAATGATATTCATTATTATAGCTATTATTATTAGGATATGGTTGATGATTGTTCATTTGTTGCATCTCTATGTGTTAGTGCTGAATATGAAAGAAGATTTCAGAAACAGGTTTTTTCATTTCATTTTTTGTCGACATATTATTATTCGACTATTACAAATCATTAACAATTGATTATAACTCAGGTGGTTACTGGTTGTATTTATCCTCAAGATGATAAAGGTCAACCAATTTATAATCCTAGTGGGAAATATGCAATTAAACTAATATGTAATGGAATTTATAGAAAAGTATGCTATTTATGTTATTTTATTTATTGTGGAGCACCACTTGGAACTTTTTATTAAACATTTAATAAAAATAAATCACAATGATTTCAATATGATAAACTATTATTTTATAGGTTGGTGAGTATGGTGATACATAATAAATAATAACAATAATAATATCATTATTTAATAATAACGACAATTTATTAGTCATAGATGATTTACTCCCAATCTCAAATAATGGTAAACCTTTGTATACTTATTCCAAAGGTAACGATGAATTATGGCCATGTATCATTGAAAAGGCTGTAAGTTAATGATATCCTGTTTTTTAATTACATCTTTAAATAATGAATTAATTGTTTATTATTAATTATTTTTTTTTTAGTACATGAAGTTGATGGGTGGATATGATTTTTTGGGATCGTTTGTATCAACTTTAATTTACCTTTTTGAAATCAACATTTATCTATATAGACTAAATTGTTTTTTTTTCTTTTAAGTAATTCAGGAAACGATCTTTAGTGAGTAACTTGATTTATTTATGATATCAAGTTTCGAGTAATTTATTTATTTTTTTAACAAATTTTTAATAAAATAAAAACGAATCCAGTGCACTCACAGGATGGATACCTGAAATATTTTTGATTGAAGAGTAAATATATAATAATCATTGCTTCTTTTTTTTACAAGAAAAATAATTATGATAATATATAATTTATATAAATATTAGTGAGGAATTTGAAAAAGAGCACACATGGAATAAATTATTAAATGGACAAAGAAATGGTATTATAGAAAAAACCAAAATTGTCAAGGAATCCAATCTATAATTAAACCGTTTATTTACTCCAGATATACTATTATTTATTATTTATGTTAGGTCATGCATTGGTTACAATAGCTACTGGTAAAGAAGAATCAAAACTTATATGTGTTGGACTTTTTACTGCACATTGTTATGCAGTTTTAGGTAAAAAAATTTATTTTATTTGTTTATTGTTTATTTTTAAAAATATTATTAAGTTTAAATGACTTTGTAAATTTTATTATATTAATTTTTTATTAAAAAAGACGTGCAAGAAATTGGTGGATTAAGACTATTACGGGTATAAAGCCTAACGCATTTAATTTATTTATTTTCATTATTTAACTTGAAATTCTTAAATTTACTAATTTTTAGGTGAAAAATCCTTGGCATAGTCAAAGATGGAATGGAAACTTTAGTCATTTGGATGGTGTAAATTGGACTCCTTATTTGATGAATATACTGAATTATAATCGTGCTAAAGCAATCAATGATGATGATGGTATAAAAAAAATGGAAAAGAAATATTTATTATTATTATCGCCTTACTTTGGTAGACTTAGACTTAGATATTGAAATTTTTATTTTTAAAAAAAGGAATCTTTTGGATTGATTATGATTCTGTATGCACATATTTTGATACTATTTATATGAATTGGGATCCTAATCTTTTTGATCATAAATATGTTATACACTAGTAAGTATTATTATTGTTGTTGTTATTATTATTATTATTATTATTATTGATTTTTATTTAACTATTTATTACAGCTCATGGAATGAACTCCCAAAATTGCAAATGGACGATGACACGAATTTGGGTATTTATTTTATTAATTTATTAATCTATTGATTGATTTATTGATTGATTAATGAGTCTTTGATGGATAATTTTTAAAAACAGGTTATAATCCACAATTTAGTTTAAGAGTTGACAACAAAAATAACAAACCTTCTGCTGTTTGTATACTACTTTCGAAACATATAAAGGTCACCGAAGAAGATGAGCGATATATCACATTTCATTTGTTTAATAATACAAACGGGAAAAAAGTTTATTATCCTACTAATCCACTCAAAAAGGTTAGTAATAATAATTAATCGCAAGGTCTTTCTTTTTCTTTGTCCTTTATTGTTAATATTAACATAAGATTAATTTTACATAGGGACAATATTTAAATAACCATCACATATTGGTATATTTTTCGCACGCTATTTCTAAAAAAAAACACACATATAAATATTTTTATCAACGATTTTATTTATACATAAAAAACAGGTCAGATTTGATGCGCCAAAAGGTAAAAGCAAATACACAGTTGTTGTAGGTCTAAAAGATAAGTCGAAACCGCTGGATTTTACTTTAAGGTGTTATAGTGAATCATCAATTATATTAAACGAAATACCTAAACAATACCCTATCGAGTATAAAGTATGATTTTTATATCACTTCAAAAAAGAAAGATACTATTGCAAATATTTATTATATTATTTAAAAAATATATAAAATAAAAGAAAAATGATCAATGGACGTCACAAACAGCAGGAGGTAATCCGGGTATCCCTACTTATTTAAATAATCCACAATATCGTTTATCAATACCACCACCAAAACCTTCATCATCATCGTCATCGTCATCATCATCGTCGTCATCATCATCAACTACTACTACTTTGGATAAACCGCGTATATTGCTTATGTTAGAATCACATGATTTGTTTATGATACAGGTTGAAATGATTTGGAATAAAGGCAAAAGAGTTACCAAGTAAGTTGACAATTTGTTTTTTCTTTAAAAAAAATCAATATTATATGTTGATTAGTTAACATGTATTTTTATTTCATCATCATAGTTATTCTCTTAAAGATATTTTAGTGAAATCTCATGGTTACCGTCAAGGATTTTGTTATTGTGAAGTAGATGATGTGAAATGTATCAACAATTTTTTTAACATGGATCAATGATTTAATCATATTTATAATTATAATAAATTCATTCTATTATTATTTTTAATAATTAGATGGAGATTATACGATTGTAGTTTCAGCATATACACCTAATGATATTGGTGAATTTACATTGACTGTTGCATCTAATGTTGAATTTAAAGTTACCTCCATACCAAACGAAGGAGCAGTAAGTTCGATAAATAAAAATTATTATTAATTTAATGATTATTTTAAAACAGTAATGATAAATTTTTTTTCGCAAATTTTTATGTTTAGGGATTATTTAAGGAAGTTATTAAAGGACAATGGTATTGTATAATTCTTGTTTTTTAATTAATCAATCACTTTTTTATCTAATTTATATCATGTTATTATTGAATAAAAAAGGATTAAAGATATAAGTGCAATGGGAAATCCGGAATTTAGTGATTACTACAAAAATCCATCATATCATCTTGATATTAAGGAAATGACCATCTTAAAGTGAATTTTAATAATTTTTTTATCATCATCATTATTATTCCAATTTAAAATTTAACTTTTTAATTTTGTTTGATTAAAAGGATTAGACTTCAAACTACCAACGTTACACCAATACCTTCAATAAACATTAAAATATTTGAACAACGAGGTAATAATTTGTTTAGTAAAGAAGTTGCGACTTCAGGTGACTATATAGATTCTCCACAGGTAAAAAAAAAAAATTTTTAAACTGTTAATTTTTAACTTAAAAAAATCCAATTAATAATTATATGTTAATAGGGAGTTTGTACAGATGAAATCACTTTGCCACCATATAGTGATGGTATGTATGTCTCTTTTGATATAAATATATTCATTTGTTTTGATTTTTTTTATAAAAATTATTATATTTAATTATTTATGTAGGATACGTTGTTGTTTTTTCTACTTGGGATAAAAATATTTCATGTCAATTTATTGCTTATTTTTATACTGATAGAAATGTCACAATTAATGAAATTATAAAAATTTAATCCTCTTTCACAGTTTGTTTTCTTTGATTAATTTAAATATGGAGTTGTTTATTTTTTTCTCTTTAGCAAGATAATAAAAAAAATGTATAAATGCAATAAAAAATTGTTTTATCTTGTATGTATTTGTGAACAGAAAGATCAAGAGAATAAATGCATTCAACAAATTCCTTGGTAAAACATTATAATGTACAGAAATTAATTAAAAAATAAATTAGTTAGAAATGATTATCAATATTAGAAGTCAATCAATTAGTTAAATTTTGTATAATTAAATTTTGTTTTTCTAGTGAAAATCCATGTTTTATTAAATAGTTCGACGTTGAACTATATTCATCTTTAACATAATCTAAAAAATATTTCATTGCCTAAATGGTATTATTAGTAAAATTAATATAAATAAGTAATTCTAATAATTAAAGTAGATAAACAAATATTTACCTCATAGTTTACCAGTGAGAATTCTTCAGGTAAACCCATTCTTCTAAGATCTTTTACGATTTTAGATTGAATAGGTTGTAAATGTTTTAGTGATGATAAATAATCTTTGATGATAAGTTCATCTGGAATGCCAAGTAATGATAAGATAATTGCTAATGAAAATTTTGATAATAATTAATTTAAAGAAAAGAAACTTTGACCAATTAATTAATTTTAACAAATTCATATTTACCAATTACTATTCCTGTACGATCTTTACCATGTTTACAATGAATCAATACAGGTAAATTTGATTTATCTGTTAATGCTTCAAGGATCTTTAAAAAAAATGAATAATATAGTTTATTAGGTATTCATTCTATCCGCCAATAAATATTAATGAATAGTTATTATTGCTACCTCAATAATTATTTCATGACAATTCTTTACAAGATCAATATACATTCCGTGTAATCCATTTGGAGCCAAAAGTTCTCCCATTAATTTAATAGCCTGATGTTTTTGACAAAATGCGAAATATAGAAAGGTTTTACTGTTATTAAAGAAGTTTAGTTGATTAGTAATATAATAAAATCAATTAGTTAGATTAAAAATTAGAAAAATAGAAATTTAAATTAGATACAGTTGAATATTCCATGGAGCTCTACTAATGATTGCCATTTGAAGTTTTCTCGTTGCAAAATTAACATTTATCGTTTTGTGATCATATTCATATCTTGAAACATCATCATCCTAAAATATCATTATCACCAATTAATTTGATAATAATTTTTATTTTTACTCAAAATAAAACTAAAAATTAGTGTTTTGTACATTATTAGTGCCTTTCACCAATGGATAATTTTTTGCCAGTAGATTTTCTTCTTCATTTGAAGGTCTATTTATATACAATAATAATAATTATTATGGTTGTTTTATTAATAAATGTATTATTTATTAAAACAAATAATTCACCTCGATCTTAAATCAATTATAGTACGAATGTTATAATCCAATAGTTTATTTACATCTTTTTTAGTTGGATTAACTAAATAATTTTTATATTTTTTTTTAATTTCTTGATATTTTTTTTTTAAAAAATTTATTTATTTATTTTACCTGGTTCTCCACTGCGAAACAATAATCCTTTCTTAATTAAACTAAAAAATCAATTAGTTGAGTGGATTTTTTTTATCCTCAAATATAAAATATTTTACTTACTTTTTATTATAAATATTATCAAATTCGTTAAAACTTTCAGTAACATCACGAAAATTTAATATCGATTCCATGTTTTTTTTTCTCTCAATTATTAATAGAAATGATGTTTATATTTATAATTTTATACCCAATTAAAATAATATAATTATGTATGAAAGAAACTATTAGAACATTGGTATTGGTTAATTGATAGCATATTTATTTATTTATCATTCAAATTTGATCCATATATGACATCTTTCATTCTAACAAAGACACTTTATTTGTAGAACCAATTACATTTTAAAAAAAATCATACAAACTACAACCACCGCATATTCACCACATTACTAACAATTTGTATTATCAAAAATAGTATGTGGTAGCCTACATTTATTTAGCAATTATTTATGATGATTAATTGCTAAATAAATTCTTTTTATTACCTTTCTCATATACTAATACAGGGTTGGTTACTTTGTCGAATATATGCGTGCTAATACTAAGTAGCAATGTCAAAAAATTTATACAATAATAATAAACATCGAGTATTATTTGATATTCTGTGATTTGGAAGAATAGTGACGATCCCCCACAATTTGCTAATTAAATTTCTATATATTAATACAATGAAAACTCAATTCGATCTGGTGGATTTAAGGGATTAATATTAATATTAACGGGAACAAGATTTTTTTTTTTTTTTTTTTAACGACGTAAATCTTGTTGTGACATTTATTAACTTAAAATTGATTAGAAATATGTAATACAACTCCCGTTTTACCATATGGGAACAAGATTTTTCTATATTATTTTATCTTGATTTCATAATTAATATAATTAATATTAACAATTAGTATGATAATGTAACGCAACCATATTAATACGGTTAAATAAATAAAAA